ATACCCCCGCCCCACCATGCTCTGCCTGTGGTCCCTGAGCTGGGAAGAGAAATCCTAAATCCTCAGTCACTAAGTTGTGTCTCCAAATACTGGTCAGCTGAAACAGAACTGCAGCCATGAACCAGAATGTGCCTCGTCTTGTGGAGGAAAGTCCTGCTCCAGGACTGACCTATTAGCCATCTGTTCCCAAAGCAGGGGGTGACCGAGAAGTCCGTGCCTGCTTCCTGAGGACTGCTCCGCCATGCAGTGGCTGATGAGGCTCCGGGTCCTTTGGGGCACTAACAAATACTGACATACCTTCCACCCTGTCCCGAGGCACTTGCACTCCCAGTCTGTATCAGCAACTGGCGCCCCGAGATGGAATGACCATGATAGACCTGAGAAATTTAACTTTGCCAGTGATGTCCTGGACTACTGGACTCAAATGGAGAAGGTGAGGAGGCACCTGTGAGGGGGGGGAGAGGGGGGAGGCTAGGGGGATCTCTCTGGCTTTTCTTGCTCCTCAGAGGCTGAAGGGCACAGACCTGATGCAGCTGGTACAGGCCGATCTCACCTTACCAGTGCCATGGGAAAAGTTTATGTTTTGGGGTTCAATTCTCATCCTGGCCACTTCCCACTTCTCTGAGCCTCATTGGTTCTATCTCTGAAATGGGGACAATCTCCTTAAGGAACATGACAGCAGGTAAAAATACAGGGTACACAGTCAGATAATTGTGACCAAATGCAAAGTTCTAACTTGATGGTAATGTGAATGCTGGCCTTCCACTAATGGGACTGTGAGCCTATCTGGGATTCAGCTCATCAAACTTGTGCTTAAGTTCAGGCTGCTCTCAGAGGGAGGGGACAGGCCCCCTGCTGGTGCCCCTGAGAACCTGTCACCTAGAGCTCAGTCATTTATCCTGCCCCCACTGTGGGGAGAGGAAGGCCACTGCAGGCCTGGCTACCAGTGACTACTTGGGTGTAGCATTGAGTTCTGTCCAGAGAAACCAGTCCCTGCAGCCTCTAGAGTTTACAGGTCTCTTCAGAAGAAACCAAGTGCTTGAAACCAAAAGGGGGGCCATGATGTCTACCCACAGGTTGAGGTGGACAATGGGTGGTGTCCCAGCTACTAAGTCCCAGCTGGTGATGATCACAGTGTGAAAAGTTACCCAATATTATCTTTGTACAAAGAGAGAATTCACCTGCAATGCAGTCAGAGAGTTGATGTCAGAGAGTTTTGTTTTGTTTGTTTAAATATATTTTATTGATTTTTTACAGCGAGGAAGGGAGAGGGATAGAGAGTTAGAAACATTGATGAGAGAGGAACATCGATCCACTGCCTCTTGCACACCCCCCAATGAGAATATGCCCGCAACCAAGGTACATGCCTTTGACTAAAATCGAACCCGGGACCCTTCGGTCCATAGGCCGACGCTCTATCCACTGAGCCAAACCGGTCAGGGCAATGTCAGAGAGTTTAAGTTTCCCATGAATTTAACATATGCATTCACATATTAGTGTTCAAGGCTTATATGGCTTTCATGGGGCTTCTCCCTTTTTCTTTTTCCTTTCTCTGAGTTTCCATAAGAACTTCCAGGAAAATAGAGCCTTGGTTATGAGGAGCACTTTTGTGACCCACATTTCCCAGATGAGAAAACTGAGGATATGAGTTTTACATAACCTACAGAAATTATATGCCTAAGTGGAGGAGCAGGATTTGGGTCCAGGTTGTCTAGTTCTAAAATATATTTCTTTAAACCTGGTCCCATGATCTCAAGACCCCAAATCTTTTCCTTCAGACTATAAATTGACTTCCATTATTGTCCAGACCAAAAATCTGAGGGAGACCTTGTGGACCATGAGATGGGCTGGAGAGAAGGAAAGGGGCCCAGCCCTTCATTTTCTCATTTATCTTCATAAAATTCTCATTCATTAGTGCACGCATCCACCCATGGAGATAACCACCAAGTAAATAGGATTCCCCATGGAATACCTGTTCTTGTTGGGTTTTATATCATTGTTATCAGTGATTGTCAATTCCTCCATATCTCACACTGTCCCCCCAGCACCCTCATTCCATTAACTTTCATTCTCACAGCACTTCTGATCTGTTTCCACTTTTCCAATTGCCTTAACTATGACCAGTGTCTCTCTAGGGATGTGTGGTGTCTGACACCTAGAACTTTCTCAACAAACATTTGTGGAGTAAATTAATCTGAAACCTGCCTTACAATCTACAGATCTTGGTGCTGCTGCTATTAAAGACTCTGCAGAGGGCACTCCAGTGGGGTTCACTCTGCTCCCTGAACCTCCCTTAAAATGAAGCTCCCTTAGTTAGAAATCCAACATTTTTATGTGCCCTCTTCCTTTTATTTTAAACTAGAGGCTCAATGCATGAAATTTGTGCAAGAGTAGGCCTTCCTTTCCCCAGCTGCTGGCACTGGCTTCCCTCTGGCACAGGGGCCCTGGCTGGCTTCCCTCCAGCCTCAGCTTTGTCCCGAAGGATGTCCACAAGGAAGTCTGGTCTAATTAGCATATTATCCTTTTATTATTATAGATAAGTTTTCATGATTTCAGAGAGGAAGGAAGAGGTAGGGAGAGATAGAAACATCAATGATGAGGGAGAATCACAAATTGTCTACCTCCTGCACACCCCAGACTGGGGATCAAGCCAGCAACCTGGACATGTTCCCTAACCAGAAATTGAATCGAGACCTCCTGATTCATAGGTTGATGCTCAACCACTGAGCCACACCAGCTGAGCAATGTGTGTGTGTGTGTGTGTGTGTGTGTTTGATTTCCAGGAATCAAATCCAATGAAAGCATACATAAGGGGAACAAAAAAATTGATGTTTCTCTCTCTGTCACTTCCTCTCTCTCTAAACCAATCAATAAATGAAAACATTTTTAAATACTGAAGCTAACTTTTTCTACAAGCAATAAACTTATGCATGGGGGAGTTTTGTTTGTTTTATTGTGACTTGGATGCCTTTATCTTTTATCTTTTATTTTTTAATCCTCACCCAAGGATATTTTTTCCATTGAATTTTTAGAGAAAGGGAGGGGAAGGTGGGAAGGGGGAAGAGAGAGAGAGAGAGAGGAGAAACATTGATGAGAGAGAGACACATAGATTGGTCGCTTCCTGCATGCGCCCTGATGGGGGCTGAGGATTGAACCTCCACCCCAGGCATCTGCCCTTGACCAGAATCAAACCCCGGGACCCTTCAGTCCGCAGGCCAACTCTCTATCCACTGAGCCAAGCCAGCTAGGGCAGAAAATGCTGTCTTTAGACATCAGGTGTAGTAGAACAGGCACATAAACCTGGTATAAGCAGCCAGTAATCAGGTTAGAAACCTGCATTTTGTTAGTTTCACCTTCGTATTTGTCCTCACTCTGTCCCTTTGGCATTTAGTGAAGACATGTGAAAGCTGCAGCACGTCTCAGATGTGAAAGGAGACGGTAACAGGGGTGGGCCCTGTCTAGCACATTAATGAGGACTCTGTTGACAATAAGTAGCACCAACGGCTCCGCCTCGCCTACCCCGGGACGGTCCCTGGAGCACTGCAAGGAATGCGAAGGTCCTGCAGCTGGGCTCGACATGGAACCAGGGCCTCCGAGCAACGGGCAGGCCCAGACGCCTTCTGTTTGGGGTTGAATTGTGAACCCCCAAAAGGTGTGCTGAAGCCCTCACCCCTGGTACCTGTGGACATGGCCTGGCTTGGAGATAGGGTCTTTGCAGGTGTAATCAAGTTAAGATGAAGCCATACTGGCGTAGGATGGGTCCTCATTGGAACAGACAGAGGGAAGAATGCCCTGTGAAGATGGAGGTAGAGACGGGTTTACAAACCAAGGAGCACAAGGATTGCCGGCAGCACCAGAAGCAAAGAGAAAGGCCTGGAGCAGATCCTCCCTGGACCCTTCAGAGGGAGTGTTGCTTTCAAGCCGCTAGCCTCCAGAACTGTGACAGAATGCATTTCTGACATTGGAAGCCGTCCAGTCTCAGACACCCGGTGATGGCAGCCCTGGGAAACGAACCCACCCTCTGCCTCCCGCTGAATCTCTGTGTCACTCTTCTTTCACACGGTGGCACACTAAAGGTTCTGTTTCCTGGCTCCGATGGTAGAGAACAGTTGTCAACAACAACTTCCATGTTTGCGTGACATAGCAATAGCGATACAGAGAGAGACTAAACAGCTTTTTTTTTTTAATCCTCACCCGAGGATATTTTTCCATTGATTTTTAGGGAGAGAGGGGAAAAAAGGGAAAGACAGAAACATCAATGTGAGAGAAACACCTCAATTAGTTGCCTCCTGCATGAGTCCCGA